CCCAAGATCTATGCCTGAACGGTGTGTCTGAACTTATCGCGGCATACTCAGTCAGGAAGAAAGCAAACACATAACACATATTATGGCCATTAGCAACCGTCAAATGCGCTTTGAATAATTTCGTTTGCGCACCGCATAGGGGTTCATGCCCGTCCGGCGCACTTCCGGCGATCGGTGCGACATTCTTCACACAAGTGCTCGAGTTGTTTTCTTAAAACGATTTGTATGTGTGAATGTGCCTATATGATTGCAGGATAACTTCATGCGCACACACGATGTTGAATATTCGTGGAATGCAAGCGGGTTGGGACTTCACTTCGTGCAGTGCTAAGGGGCAGTACAGATAAGAAACGAGAAGTGTGTTCAAATGGAGCTTTTCAATGGCGTTTCCGAGTTTTACCTCACGTGCTCAGGCGTATTAAGAAAAACAGTAATTGCAAAAAGTTGTATTTCGTCTATGGGCGCACGAAACAAACACAGTTCCTGATCAACAACACTAATGTAAAGGCGCGAGCTCGATGTATGCATACTTATTGGTTGCTACAGCTTGTTGATTCGTACAGAAACAAGATCCCCGAGCTTCGCAGCGTCAAGATTCCCAGCACTGCCTTGTCCACATACTTCGAAACGCTAACAGAAAGGCTCAAGTACAAAAATACAGCAAACATGCGTTAAGACAAGCTATACGTCTCGGCCGGGCATGTGCTAAAGATTCGAGGTCTGGCCATTTAGGTTAGTTTAGAGATCACAAATGACGCCCTCGGGACCAGAAAACATGAGATAACGGCCGCTTATGGTCCACGCTCTGCGTATAATCTCTTGTCGACGTGTCGATCGAAACCGAAAATATGCCACTCTACTCCCTGGCCAACTAGTTCCTAGAGTGCAACGCGCGCCATGTTGCATGCAGGGATTTATGGAAGTAGTCTATTGAGCCCGACACTAAGTACCCTGCATTAATCGTCCATCCGGTCTTGCATGGTTTTCTCGCCGTCTTGCGTTTCTCGCTCTCGTCTCGTAAATCTCGTCTCGCGCTTTTTTTTTTTTAATTTTTTTTTATGATAGACGCGGGTGTGTGCAGACGCTCCGACGCTAGCATGCCAGGTACCAGCCGTGCTGCAATGCTGTGAGACGAAACCACGTTTTTGCGCGGCGGGAGTTACTTGTGAGCTGAAGCACTCTCTCCTGAAAGCAACGGCCGTGGGAAAACTATTTTTGGTCCCTGCCTGCCAGTCACCGTGGTCGCGCGACGTTGGGTGTTGCCCTCCCCACGTCACTGCAGATATGTCTCTTTCTAAACTGAAACTAAGTACCGTTGCATGTTCATCAACATTCCTGTTCTTGTTTAAATCATACGTTACTACAAAAATCTTTCTTTAACTCAGACTGCTGTGTCGAAGTATCGATTAACTAGGTTTCGATTGGTAGGCTTCCTTTCTAGAGGGACCCAGGTACATAAAATAATTTGCCGCGAAAGAAGGTTGATAAAAAGAAGTTAGCTAAAGCAAAGAAGTCAATGGTCTGGACGCTGAACCCTCACAGCGCGCTTCTTTGTCTCGAGTTCAGTCGTTGCACAAAGCGCTCCAAGAACTTTTCGACCCTGGCTTGCGTTGTCTTGCATCGATACGCTTAGGTACTTTTTTCTCTTTTTTTGTATCTTTAGTGTGTACTTTGTTTGCCGGCCTGGCAAGCACACGCCGCTGGACTCTTTATTGTCATATGCTCGACAGTTACATTTTGCATACAATTTTGGAGATCAGCTGGCGACGAAATGGAGTTTCATGGTTTCGGTTGAACAGCCGTTGTCTCAGCTTGCGCGACGAAGCACGCGCAACTGCAAGCCTGCCGAAGTTGGCCTCACGTGCATGTGAACATGATATCACGACAGAAGCACCAGCCGGGACGCTTGCAATCCATAGTTTTACGTTTGCTTACTTTTGACTAAAATCTAGCTCGTCGGCAACCAGTCAAACGGTGGTAAGCGGTTTTCCGGAATGGCTGGGCAATGCCTACAGCACTGTACACTTGTGGGATGTCTCAGCAGTAAAAACACAAGCAGCGAGTTCCGTCACATCATGCCACATCAGAACAGAACACATCACAAAGTGCCCTTCGTATGTACAGCACTAAAAACAAATATTTTTATTTTTGTAAGAATATCTGCTCCAAAAGCAACCTTTGCTGTTCCAAAACACTGTCTTGGCTGCTCCAAAAGCCACTTTTGCTGCTCCAAAACACTGTTTTGGCTGCTCCAAAAGGTACTCCAAAATGGCTTAAGCCAGTCACATCACTGCTAAAGGCATACTTGGGTGTTTCACCACACTTACCCGTAACATGCGAAAAAAAGTCTCATCCCGAGGGAGCGCTATCCTGGCGTGAGCGAAGGAACTGCTTCATGACTAAGGTTCCGCGTTTTTGTATAAATCAGCAGGAATTTGAAAAACTCTCACTGGTAAAATTTTTGGCAACTCGGATTTATCCTAAAAACTTCAAATTTCAAGGTCACGACAGCAAAATAAAAAGCAAATAATGAATTTTATTAGAGCACAGGGTCGGTTGTGTTGAGAAAGGCCACTTCAGTTTCCTATGAAATCTTAGACTGACAAAAGGAGGTTTACCTTTTAGCTCGTCAAGGTTCAATTAGGAAAACGGGTCATGCCACCGACTGGGTCACGACAAAAGCTATTGTTGAGGTTTCAACTTCGATCCATACTATTTGTGCTTCTTAGAGGAAGGAAGGGTAGTGTTTTTATAAGGGTGAAAGCTAGGACCCCTACATTTCAATCGACGCAGAGTGTAGCTGAAGCTTCCATGCGTCCTAGTGACCGCGTCAAGAAGTTTAGTTATTTTAAAGTATCCACAGTTATTGAGGTGACACTTCTTTGCTATACTTGTCGTGGGATAGTTGGTATTGCTAATGGCAATGGCACCAATGCCAAATGTAGCTGCAGAAATATTGTTCGATAGAGGCAAGTTCTGATGAATTTGGGGCATGTTTGTGTCCACACTTTATTTTTTCTGGAATACTTAAGAATGGGAACTGCTGTAAACGTAAACTCTGAATGACAGAGAATTGGCGATCTACTGATTGTAAATTCCAATAAGCCCCGAATTTTCTGCTAAGAATGAACTCCGGAAAACACCCTCTGCGATTCACGAGAAACAAGCCTCGAAAACAGGGAATTCTGTCTATGACGTAGCGCTCAATGGGACAGCCCGAGGAGGGCAGGCCACTCGCTTGACCGTAGACGAAGCAGGTATATTGCCGGTTGGGGCAATCTATACCTCACAGGAAGCTGCATAGGTGGCTGGAAACAGTCAGCGACGGGATGATTGAAACAGTAAGCATTTGCTGTTTGTACTAAATGAGGCGAAGAACCAAGACCTTCTTGTAAGCAAAATTGCTGTGTTGTCCTCGGTCCAGCAGCCACCTCGGTCATGAGCCTCCCCTGCTGGAACTTGCACACAGTGCTACGTCACGAGTACAGTTCTTTAGCTGCTGCCAGGATGGCGCTTCCATGAGAAGGCGCCGTCGGTAGTGGCGTTGCCAGGGTCTGCGGCGGGGCTGCCAACACGGAAAGTCAGAATTTCCCTAGCGAGTGCCCGAAATTCTCTATTTCTGCCAAAATGTTTCTCGCTTGCCCAAATAACGACATAATACTAAATATTCATTGTTTTTTTTTTTCTTGCATCACTTCCATTTTTACGATGAGAGATGTATTATGTAGCTGTATGCCTCGCATACTTCTTGCAAAAATGAGCTTGTCGAGCTAAAACTGCAGCCAAAGAAAATCTGACGAGGGGAATTCGGAGATTGAAACTGACGAATGAAACCTTATCTTCAGTTTAGATGTTATGCATTTCATCGGAACAAGGTACTGCTTAATAGCTTCATCAATAGCACTTTTCTAATGGTCAGTCCAAAACAAAAGGTGTAACACAAGCGAGCGTTCTCAAACTCAAACACAGGGAACATGACAGAATAACTATACCATTTCGTGCACATCACTTCACAAAATATGATTATTCGTGGTAAGTCTGTATCTCCAGACATAGCAGTATTTCTTTTTCGAGAAGGCACAGCAGCGCTCTCAGAAAGTTCCACTTGGCTGATCCCTTGCCCCATAGCTTTCATGGTGGTAATGAAAACGGATGAAAATTGATTTTGCCGAAAAAATGTTGTTCGAGTGCTCCTCAGTGTTTCCAGGTGGGCGTGCAACAAGCCGGCAAACGGCTGGAGGGGATAGCCTGAATCTAGCCAAAGCCACTAAAATTTTATGTTTTCTCGAAATAAAATCATGATTGACCTATAACATTTTAGATACATACGGTACCCAGAATTTCCCTTAAGCTAGCAAGAGTTCCCTTATTACCACATAGACCAGAATATTACCTTAATCTAGGAAATTTCCTTTAAGTTGGCAGCCCTGGTCTGTGGTGCCCAAAGATATAGGCCGCCACAAATACCCCCCCCCCCCCCCCCCCCCGGTTCGCATGTTCTGGATGAATATGGTGAGCACTGTGTTAAATGGGACATGCTATGGTTTTTGTACTTTTGATAAATATTCCACTTGGAACTAATCTTCGTCGTTGATGACCTGCGGAGCATGCATTAACTTTTGTTTTGGCACCCACGACACTATTGAATCTAGAAACTTCAAGTGGAAAGTCACGGTGCAAAGTGTTGGCATGCCGTCACACAAAACGACGACACATTTACAAACATGCAGCCTTGTTTTGAAACATCAGACACAATGAAGTTAAAGTTAAATTTTTTGGACATCTGTGTCGTGTTTGTCGTTCTTGTCCCCACTGTCCAGGGTTAAATGTCTATCAGACAGTTTTACTTTGCAAGCAGTGCAAGAAATTTTCCAAGGACTGTTGTTTTTTTGTTTTGTTTTTCCGTTGCAGTATTTGTTTTAGAACATATCCATGGCCAGAAAGCTCATAAAATAGACATATTTGGTAGACCGATCTGTTGTGGGATGCTCCGCGTGCAGGTGAAGCAGATTCCCCAGGAGCTGACGGAGCAGCCGGGACAGGCGTTCCAGTGCAGCCTGGACTCTGGCTCTAACGTTGACCCAGGCCTGCTGTCTGCCAGGATCCTCGGCAAGGAGTTGGTGCTCCAGGTGAGCACGTCTGGAAGTGCAGAACGATCGTTGGCTGTTTGCAGAGTGCCATGACGTTTCAGCAGATAGTCTGCTTTCACGATGTGCCCGACACTTCTCCGAGAGAACCTGGACTATAGTTGTCCATAAGGGTTCAAAGGAAGGACCGATTTGTTTGTAGTGGCAAAGTTTTGAATCTACATTTCTCGGGCTGTCGGCGGTTCTCGCATCCCGCAAATCTGCTCGCGGTTCATGCTCCAGCCTTGGCTCTACACCGGCGCAATTGTAAAGCGGGGGCTTTTTGGCAATGCTACCTGTACAACACGGAACGTGTTTTACGAGTTGTTTTCTACGAGAGTCGTCGCGAACGAGCGTCAACGAGTAACTCGCTGGGAGCATTGGGCGTCAGGGTTATGTATAAAACATTAACCCTGGCAGAGCTTGAACCTGGGTCGGAAGCCACTAAGTGACTATGCAATCGCCGCCCGATTTTTCGAACTTTGCAGGGACCAGAAAAAACATCCGAATAGTAGAGTAGTCAGGAAAATCAGCAGATTCAAAAACTTGCCTTTATTACATCTAAGCGGGCTTAAAAAAGAGCCGCCGGTAGTACCTTGCTTCAGGTTATGCCTCTGCTTGTGTTCGGCCACGTTCTATGCGGAGCGCAAGTTCGTCTGCCAAACCAAGCTAGTCAGTTTGGCAGACGAGCAAACCAACATGGAATCTATTATGGTGGCTTCTCTGTGGTGTTCCTTGCTGATCGCTCGCGGCAGTTGTGTCCAAAATATCGAACAAGTCCTAGCTATCGGCGTCCGAAAAATCGGTTGGTGACCGTAGTTGGTAAAAGTCAAAAGTTCAGGGGAAGCTCCTCTCTCTACATCAGCAGAGCAAACGCTGAAGCGGCGACCTCCTCTCCAGAGTTTGCTCTGCTGAGGTGGAAAGAGGTGGGAGGAGCTCCCCCGGAAACTTTGGATGTGTTGCCGGCTGTAGCGCATCTGGTCTGGAGAAGTAAATGCTCTTATTTTGAATGCAAGCATGCTGGCAAGAGTGGCAGGTTTTGAGATGAAAGTAATAAGTAAACTGAATGAGAAATGAAGTTAATGAAATATATCAAAATATAAAATAATAAAAATAAGTGACCTATAAAATATATGTAAAATAGAAAAAAATGAAAAACCCAGTGCAAACCACACGCCTTGTTTGGCTTCTGCTGCACGCTGTTTGTGCTCCCTGTTTTTTTGTTGTTGTTTTTTTTTTCAGCATGGTCTAGTTTCTGTCATTTTTCCTCTTTCCCGGGTTTAGAATAAGTAGGAGAGAATAGCTTTTTGGGGTTTTTTTTTTCCCGGAGGATGCGTTGGGGTCCCAGGTTTTGCAAAAGCGCTGGGTAATGCAGATGGTACCGTTCTGTACAGGACGTTAGCATCGTGGAATTTTCGAAAGAGAAAAAAGCTGCAATGTTTTCAGAGCGTGAGACCAGAGTCGCTCAAAAGTATCCTCGCTTTTCAAGGTGCAGGAAGGCAACACTGCAAGACCGCATCGGCAGTTGTCGCTTTCGTGCCATGCACGAGCGATGCAGGTGGAAACATGCTCGACGAAACTAAAAATAATCCGCGCATTTGTAGAAACTTAGTTGGAACTGCCCTGCATCTTCTAGTAGTACCGTTCGGATCGACCGACATTCAGGGATGTCTCGTGGGCAGTAAGAGCATGGTTTCATTTGACAAGAAAGCAATCGTAGCCGGGGACGGGTTAGAGACGCAGTAGACGTTTCGCCTACAGCACAACCTTTTTTTCTGCCCTCGATAACACTTCGACGCGCACACTGCCAAAGCCCATCTGCTAAAGGCGCAGCTTCTGCCGCCGATCACGGTGCCGATTCCTTTCAAATCGCCGACCCGCTTGTGGCGGTGCCTCGTGATACGGCGAGGCCGCAGCGTTCGTTGTGACGAAGCTACGAAATGTAACACGTCGCGTTTTGTGTACGACCCAGGTGCGCGAGCAGCTCGACGTGGCATTGGTTGCCGGATCCCTCTTCGACACCTCCGGGGAAGAGGAGGTGAACGTGCTCGATGCGCTGTCACCTCCGCCAATGGAAGCCGCGCAGGACGTGGCGAAGGGCATCGAAACGGAAGAGGCGGCCGCCGCACCGCCAAAGCCCCAAGAGCCGGCGAGGGCACAAGAGGCCGCACGGTCCAAGGCGTCGCCCCCGCGGCCGCAGTTCAATCGCAGTGAGTATCGCGTTGAAGTTTCGATCCTCCGGCGCTTTCTGTCGTGCGAATACGAAAGTGGGACGGTTCGGTTCTGCCCATATGCCTAGAACGCGTCCGCCGCCAGTGTGATTGCCCGGTCCTTTCTTTCTTTCTCTCTTTCTTTCTTTCTTTCTTTATTTCTTTCTTTCTTTATTTGCTTTCCTTCGGGCAGAGCCCGAAAGAAGTGCCAGTGCAAGATGCAAAAAAAAGAAGCCTGACGTGGCTCCGGTCCCTTACAGTTCACACATAAAAAATAACATGGAAGTGCATTCCATCTAACAAAGTAATACAGTATGATAAAAGCTTTTGCAGAACTGAAGCACACATACATAATAGAAATGCGACAATGAAAGCCATGTATATAAGGATAAAAATGCGTACTGAATGCAAAAAACGTGAATACAGATTATAATTAACATAAAAGAAAAAACAAGTCATCTAAGGAACACACAAATAACAAACATCATTATCGCTCACTTTATGGAAACTAAACAGTATATACCCAACAAAATATAACAAGGTGAGTCGTGCACATGAAATAAAACAAGGATGAACTTTGAAGGTATAAAGTATAATACAACGCTTTATTGTGATTATAAATTTTATATTGCTGCCTACCAGCAGTGCGTTACATTCTTTTTTACAGGGAGTGATTTTGCATAGTTCATAGAGGGCATGTTATTTAATAGATTACAATCAAATCCACTTATAAGAATGCGATAGTTCCGCGGAAAGTGGTCGTTTTATCAGTAGTTTATTATATCTGGACTTACCTTTAACCCATTCGCTTCCGAAGACGGCGATCCGCCGTCCGCGGGAGAAAGGGCCGAAGTGCAATAAGACGGCGAGTCGCCGTCCTCCGCAAAACAATGTTCCAAAATATATTGATAGATGGCGACACTTTACAGGCTTCGGGTGTTTTGATTAGTACTTTTGACACCAGATGGTGCCACGTACGTGATTATTTTATGAATATTTAGAAGTGAAAAGGAAGAAGTTTGCAGTTCTTTTTCTTTGTATGAAAACATGGCGTCGCGGAAGAGGAGGTGTCTCACTAGCGAGGAGATTCTTGATCAGGTGTTTAAAAGTGATGATGACGACTGGTGACGACCTGGAATTCACCATGGACATCGAAAGCAGTGATTCGGACAGTGACAACGATGCTGACGCTTCGGACTCAGAAGAACCACTTGATTCTTTGGTGTCCGTCGCGCCACCACCATAGAAAGCTCCAAGGCTTGACGCCTGGCAATGGGAGGACGACGACAGCGCCGACAAAGTCGCGAAGATCCCTTTCGCCGGAGCACCAGGTGTAAAGAGAACTATTCAGATAGCTCTAGGGGACAGTCCTACAGTCCTCTCAATGTTCAATGCTTTGATAGGCGAAGACTTTTGGCAGATGCTTGCACGTCACACGAATGCCTACGCACTTGAGAAGCAGGCCTCCTCTCCGGACCCTTCGTGGTTTCCCACAACTCCAGGTGAGATGAAGGCGTACTTTGCCCTTTGTATTCTCATGAGCCAAGTGAAAAAAAGCAGCATTCAAGCCTACTGGTCTCGGAGAAGCGTCATTAGCACGCCCTTCTTCGCGTTTGTGATGCCCAGGCAACGGTTTTGGGCGCTCTCACGATACCTTCACCTGTGCGACAACAGCCTGCCAGTTGATGACGACAAACTTCGAAAGCTGCATCCAGTCCTGGACTATGTTTTGAAGGTGTTTGGCGAGTCGTATTCTCCAGGATAGGGACTGGCGGTAGACGAGAGCCTCAAGAAGTTTCGTGGTCGTCTGTCCTACATTCAATTCAATCCGTCGAAGCGCGCGCGCTTTGGAATCAAATTTTACAAGCTGTGCGAGTCGTCAAGCAGATACTGCCTGAACTTTTCTATTTTCACGGGCAAAAGTGAGAGGACCCCGGCAACAGCTGGAATCTTATGCAGCGAGGCTGTTGTAATCGACCTTGTGGGAGACCGTCTTGGAAATGGTCACACCACCTATACAGGCAACTGGTACTCGTCCCCGCTACTCTTTCTTCACATCAAGGAAGCGGGGTCTAACGCTGTCGGGACAGTTAGGGTGCTTCGAAAGAACATGCCGCAGGAGCTGAAAAAAATCAAGCTTCAAAAGGGTGACTGTCGCAGTCTTTTCTCCCGTGGACTGATGGCTGTGACATGGCAGGACAAGAAGCCCGTAATCTTACTTTCAACCTCTCATGACGCAACAAACCTGATAGACACAGGAAAACAAAGAAAAGACAACCAGCCAATCCTCAAACCCCAGGTTGTGCTTGATTACAACAGAGGTATGGGAGGCGGTCAGTGAAGATTTCTCACCGGCGACACGCCAAGCTAGATCTAAACTAATCTATTTTGGAAAATCAAAAAATGCTGCGTTTAAACTAAAATATAACAAATTGCTCATCAACAAAAAGATATACGCATACGACTTCACTAAGGACAGCGTTTACGAGGTTGTTACCACTGGCGCCGTGCGGGCAGTTAATGACGAAGCTGAAAACAGCGGGGCTTCGGCATCGACCGGGGCGACATCCAGATAGGATTTTGGGGGGATTGGTTCAAGCCGCTGCCTCAAGACACGTAATGTTCCTTTACTCTTTTGCAACATTCGAAGCGTCATGCGCTGCCGGGACGATCTTAGTTCAATTATTGAGTCCTCTGATTGCGAAATTATTGTTAACTGAAACATGGCCGTCTAGTAAAGTTTGGAGCAGTGAAATATTTACGTGCGTTAAGAAATTTAAAGTATATTGGCAGGATCGAGGTGAAAGAATGAGTGGGGGAGTTCTTATTGCTGTGGCCGATGGTATAGTCTCAAACGTTGTCGATGTTTTAACCGACTTAGAAATGCTTTGGGTCAGCGTAACTGTAAACTACAAGCAATTAATTTTGGGTGTGTGCTATCGGCCACCCAACGCTTCGTCTTCCTTTTGTGAACATTTGCATGATTCGGTTAATGCAATCGTTAGTCGGTTTCCTACGTCACAAATTGTTCTTTTCGGTGATTTTAATTTTCCTAGCATTAAGTGGTCTACTGCACCGCCTACTGTACACCCATTTTCATCAGAAGGGAATGACTTCATTAATTTATGTTCTGAGTTCAATCTTTCTCAACTAGTTGATCAACCTACACGAATTACTTCTACCTCCGCAAATATTTTAGATTTTGTGTTGACGACATGTCCAGACTTATTATCATCTATTTTGTACCTGCCTGGTTTGAGCGACCACTGCTTACTACATATTGATTTAAATATACCTTTGCAAGCTACTTCTAATACTATTAAAACAATTTGGGATTATGGTAAAGCAGACTTCAACGCTATTAATAGTGAATTGGCATTGTTTTTAGACACTTTTCTAAGTGGTTTTTTCAGGCGTTCAGTTAAGGCGAGACGCGGGTCTTAAAATGGTAAAAAATCGCGAAATTTGGGGTTTTTCAAAAATCACATGTTTGGATAGAATATAGTCTGAAGTACCTGCCTGCGAAGTTTCAATGTCCTATTCGACGTCTAAGTATAAAAAAAACGATAAATACGATGCCTCCGCGACGCTCGAATCGCGAATCAAACGCAAAAAATAGTCAAACTGCGCGCCCGCGTCGCTTCACGACCGATCGTCGGATCGCGGCCATCTTGGTCTTGTTGGAGAGCTGGTTCTCTTCCCTACGTCCTCATCCCACTCACTATCGCGACAACCTTGGAGAGCGTCCACATTCCACGTGTTTTCACGACCGGAATAACGATTGCTCATTGGCCCGCGCGCGTATGTCACGGGTACGTCGTGCCGCGCGCGCCTGTCATAGGCCAAGACGCGCCCCTTTCCACTTTTGCTCCTTTCCTCCTCTTGGCGCGCGCGCCTCCAGCAGCGCAAGGGGATCGTGGAGAAGCGACGTCTGCTTCGTTTTGGCCCGTCGCTTTGTTCGTTCCGCGGCTGAGTGCACGTTGTTTCGAAATCGTTTACGTTCGCGCGTTCGCGTCGGACATCGTTGGTTTCTCGCTACGAAGTTGCGGGAGTTTTATTTCGAGCGATCGAGATGCCGGGGGACTCTCGATTGAAAGAGAGTACGCGGCGGACGTTTGGGAGGAAGACGCGACGTGCGTGGAACAAGCGGAAGACAACACCTGCAAGTGCGCCGCTACGATCTGCGCCACTGCCGAACGCATTGGATCTGCCGGGACCATCGGCTAGCCTTCCCGTTGACGATGCTGCGGCCTCAAGCTCTGGTCCGGATGGCTCAAGTTTTGCCGGCACCACTCGCGTCGACTCTACCTACTACTCCACGGCCGAGCAAGCGCAGCGCGCCGAGCGATCGGAGCAAAGCAAGCGCAGTTTATCGGAGAAGTCGGCGACCCAGCGGAAGTTCGATCTGCTTGAAGTCAACGGATCATGCCAAACAAGCGATGCCGGGACCCAGTTTGTCATCGTCGACATGAAAGTCCTCAACGACCTCTTCGCGCACGCGAGGTGTGGAAGCTGCGGTGTGGGATCTCTCACGCTCAGCAAGGCCGCGGACAAGGAGTACGGCTTGGCCGTCAAGCTTGTGCTCGTCTGCAGCACTTGCGACTTCCAGAAGAAGCAGTTCTCCTCTCCCAGGGTTGCTGGAACAGCGAAGATCACTCCCTTTGAAGTGAACATGAGGGCCATGAAGGGGATCCAATCCATTGGCAAAGGAGTGACAGCCTTGGCAGACTTCTGTGCCTCCATGAACATTTCTCATCGGGGCCTGCACCACAAGACGTACCAGGGACACCTGAAAACGCTTGTGCGGGCATGTGAGAATGCAGCAACCGACAGTGAAGCTGCCAGTGTTGCTGTCGTCAAGGGGCTCTACACAGGCTTTATGAACCCCATTGGCAACATCGATGTCATCTTCGACGGATCATGGATGACCCGAGGACGCAGCTCCCACATTGGTGTAGGCTGCATTGTGGAGTTGTACTCTGGCCTCGTCATCGACCATG